CCAGTCCCCGGGAAGACGGGTCTGAACCCACTTCGCACAATGTGCTGCTATATAGGACTCTCCACCCCAAAAGGAGACCGTATCCAGCATCTCCACAGGACAGTGCGGCACCTTCCATCCCATACAGCAGCTCCTTGCCTGTCTTTCTCCGCTACATTTATCTTTATCACCTCAGAACGCCGTTGGTTTTTCTGCTGCGCAATGCAATTTATTTCCCTGGCAGAGGGAATCAAGGGCTTGGTGCCAAGCTAAATGCAGGATCCAGCGGTTCATCTGGTGGCATCAGGTTCCCCAGCCGCCCCCCTCACTTTGCAGAGGCAAACACCAAAAGCAGGAAAGCAAAAGGTCAAAATCAGCTGGATCCTACCCCCAAGATCATTTTCCTTCTCAACCCAATGCAAAAGTCCCGCTGGGGAGGGAGCTGCTCTTCCAAAGTTCAGTTCAACTAAGGGTTTTCTTTCAGCCTTCTCTTGTGGTTGGAACCCAAACAGGAATATTTCCAGCTGGGATAAAATTAGCTTATCATTTAGCATCAAATCTGCTTGGTTGTGGACTTGACCAGCACGGTTTTACAATTAGCAACACAGTCACAGGCTACTTTGCTATTGAGTTTTCTGAAGTTGGCTTCCCAGCTGCACCACGATATTATTTATCAGCTAAATGAACTGACGGTACTTTTGCAGGAAAAAAAACAACCCAACACACACAAAAACCCACACCACAAACAGGAAACAATTTGCTGGTAATGAGCAGCGCGCTCTGGAAATGATAGCTGCAAGATGCACAGAAATTCAGCCTTGACCTTGGCAAGCCCCAAGCCTGCGCTGTCCCCCTGTGCTCCCCAGCAGCGATACCCACCGTCCCTCTATTCTTCACCCCTAACTGATCCGCTCCTCCGTTACTTGTGCCCACTTGCTATTCCCGGGCTGCTGCTGAGGTCGTGGCCTAGCGTATCTCTTTAAATATATATTGCATCGAGTTAATGAACGAGCTGCTGCATCTGTTTCTCCCTAGCAGCTGCTCACGGGGAGCATTTGCCTGCTCTGGTTTTTGTTTTTTTTTTTTTTTTAATTAAGGCTGGATTGCTGCTTCTAGCTGCCCCCAGCAGCATCTGCTGGCTGAAGAGGTCCGTGTCCTGCGTGGCCCGCCATCACCGGCAGCGCTCAGGCTTTCGTGGCCACAGTGCTCCGCTCGGAGGGAGAAGGCCTGCCAGAAAGAACCATGAGGTCTCTTGGACCTGGTGGGATAAGTGGCTGAGTCTCCATCCCTGGAGGTATTTAAAAGACGGGGAGATGTGGTGCTGCGGGACATGGTTTAGCGGTGGGCTGGGCAGTGCTGGGTTAACGGTTGGACTTGATGATCTGAAAGGTCTTTTCCAACCTAAACGGTTCTATGATAACAGCAGCCTTGCCCAAAGGCTCACCAGCACCGGCCTTGGCGTGGGTAAGCCCAGCCCTTCCCAAGGAGACGGTGTGGACCTCGCAGTTTCCATTTCTCCACCCGCCAGCGCAAATCCTTAGACACACGTAAAAGGCAAGTTACTGCCCGTGTCCTCCACCTCCAGCAGCTCTTTAGATGTGCTCAACATCTCCCCACCTTCTGAAAGGCAGCAGCTACCAGGTGCCAATGAAGCCAGGCTTGAGCCTCATCCACGCAGGGAGCACGGATAGTACCTACGACAACCCTGCGTCATGCAAGACCTTCTTCCAAGGAACCCAAAAGTGTTTTTTCACCTGCTTACAGAGCAGCAGAAGGTGGGGGCTCCTCTGCCATCAACCCAGAGCACTCGTCACCTAGCCGGGGACACTGCCACACTCATCTGCAGAGACAGCCTGCCCTGGTTTCGGAGCCCACGAGGACTCGACAGAGCTCCCCAACCTTCTTCTGAGCATCCATTCACCAGCGGCTTTTTTAATAGAAGAAGGAATTTATTGTTTGTTCCTTTTCCTAGCTATGCTGTATGCCCTCAGCACATCTCCGTGCCACCTCCGCTTCTCCAGCCACCACCCAAATCCCATCCCCTGCCACCAGCACTGCCTATGGAAACGGTGGCTGACCCAGCATTTGCCATCACTGGGCTTCTCAGGTGTCAACTAAGAGTGTGGTCAAGGGAATTTCCCCCCCCCCCCCTCCTCTGTGGGAGGAGAAGGACTATAACTGCTTTAATAATACAGGCAAAACAACATTCCTCAGGTTCATCTCAAAAACATCATTTCACATCACATTTCTATCCCATCTACGGTTCATTTAACGCTGCCCGTCCTTTTAAAGCCAGAGGGAAGTCACTTCTCCAGCAGTAACACTCTGAAAACATCTAAGTGGTTTCACCTGAACCTTTTTTATCCTGCTTCTGGGCAGCCAAAATAACCGTGCCAAGCTGCTGGCAGCCACAGCGGGGCTGGAGCTGTTTGGGCAGCAGGGGCCAGGTGCCCGCAGCCAGGCCCTGCAGCCCCGGGGCAGCAGCAGCAGCCCCCGAGCAAGACCCGGCGCAGCAGCAGCGGCGATGATGATGACGATGGTGGTGGTGGTGGGATGAGCTCTGCTGGCAGCAGGCACCCAAATTCCCCTGCGCACTCAGGGCTGCTGCTTCCTCCCCGTTAAAAAAAAGGCTCTGCGTGGCCCCGTTGCCTGAGCTGGGCATCTCCCTACAGGGACACGAAGCTTTGAGGTGGCAACTCCTCCAGGCTGATACGAGCCCCGCTGACCCTCAGGGCTTACCTGGGAGCAGGTCTCCGTCCAGGGAGGGCAGCGTAGCCACCAGGTGACGGCACGCATTTGGAGGGCGCTCCGAAGCAGCAGGGAGTCTTGGTGGCGGCTTCGACGGAGGCACCAAAAGCGTCATCCAGAAGCAAGAGGAGAGTCCTTCTCACCATCTACAGGAGCTTAAAGTCAAGCAGAGATGTCGGCACCATGGGAACACCTCCCTCAACAGGCCCGTGGCAGCAGGGACTCGCAGTCCCATAGCCAAGCTAGCCCCATATCCCCTCAGAGAGTCGCTCCCCAGGCATCCAACCCCAAACCCCACTCATGCGAGCGCGGGGGGGACAGCGAGGAGCCAAGCTGCGCTCCTCCTGCATTTGATCCCCCCTGCTCCCCTCGTTTTAACAGCAGCCCCAAGGGGGGAACCACCCCTCGGTGCCCGTACCCCCCCAAACACCTCCAAAAAGCCCCTTTCCCTAGAAGCACCCCCAAAAGCAGGGAGATGCTCCAGCACCAGCAAGGGAAACAGCGTTACCTGCTCCCTCCCGCAATGCCCCGCTCCCCCTCGGCGCAGCCCTGTGGCTATTTATGGCCTCTGGCCCAGCTGACGCAGCCCACCTGGCCCCACACCTGGGTCCCCAAATTGCCACGGAGGGTGGAAACAGCCAGGCTCAACCCAAAACCCTACGCCGTCGGGAAGGGGCGGGATGGCGGGGAGGGGTTTGGGGTGGGAGAACGGAAACACGGCGTAAAACATCCCAAAAAAAAAAAAAAAATCCGTATTTTAAACTCAGCCGGGAATTTCTAGAACGTACGTGCGTAAAAGGAGGGTACATCACACACGGTGTAATTTAATAGTTATTTTACATTTATTTATAGCAGTGAGAAAAGTGCTTCAGAAAAAAAGATACTCCGGTAAAGGCAAGCTACAGCAACGCTACCATCCGAGTCGTAGTATCTCACACGGAAAAGGACAGTCAGATCAAGAAGAAAAGCTGTTGTTTTGACAGTAGAACAAGTTAAAAAGTTGTATGGTGAAGAGTAACTGAGCTTTTTTTTTTAAAAATAGATTTTATTTCATTATTGAACACTACTTGCACGTTCCGAAATGCTCAGGAACTAAGAACTTTCTGTAATATTAAGACTGCAAAACTCCTGGGGCAGGGTATTACGTGAACAAGGGTGGGAAAGTTTATTGGGGTTTTTTTTTGCTGTTTTTTTAAAAGCATTCCTCCATCCTCCATTCTCTCCCCCAAAATGACATCAGATACCATTAAAAAAAAAAACCCCAAACCGACAGAAATTTGGTCCCTGCACTACTCAAGCGCCTCCATAAACTGCTGTTACTTCAGCGAACACCTCGGGCTCAGCCCGACGTCAATCCTGACAAGACAACGGTACGTGCTTCACTTCGCCTACGCAACCATCAAAACACCCAGCTACACACGCGCCTAAATCCCTACGACACGCGGCCTTTGTATGTGAACAAAGCAAAATGAGGAAGAAATGGGAGTACGGGCGACTGCAGCTGGCAAAGGAAGAGACGGCAGGTCAGACGGGTGTCCCGGGGAGAAGGGCGGCCTCGCGGCTTGCTTTTTAGGCCAAAAATCACACCGACGCAGGCGGGCCGGCCTTGTTTCGGAGCGAGCTCTGTACGCGCAGCTGTCACCAAATCAAGGCAAGGGATGCAACTTCTGCAAGCTCACCCTCTCCATCCACTTGCGCCGTTGGCTCCCAGGCCCAAGAACAACCGCATCATTCAAAAGGAACAAAACGTACTCGCGTGAAACTTTGCAGATGTCAGCTTTATGTAAAAAGGCCGCTCTCAAAGCTCCCAATTTTCCCCAACAGCTGCAAGCGGAATAGCTATACCTCCACCTCCTGTTACGCTCACAACCTTCAGCTGCTCCAAAACATATTCTGCTGTGTCAGCTGCTGATAGTTTCTCATTTTGCATCTCATTCGTTATTCTTTTAGGCCGTCTCTTCTCTGGCACAGTAAATAACTCTTTTAAAGGGTGCCATTCTCTCTAGAAACCAACTTTCATCGGGCATCACACCGCTCAACGGGGAACTTCCCGAAGGACCTGACTGCCCTGTACCCCAGGTACTAGGGAGGGGTCACAATTAGCAAAACTCCTTTGCCCCAGCATTAATTAAATCTCGTAACCATTTCACTGGTGCCGTGACAACTTTGAATAGATTTTTACTGACAAGTGGGTTTGTTTTTTTTTTTTAAATAGATAAGTCTCTTCCATGGCAGAGTCTTCCTCGTCCAGCCGAAGGCAGTGCGTATCTTGGTCACTGCTCCTCCAGAGGCAGCCGGCATCTTCCATCTTGGGCAGTATTGTACGATTCACAGTTTTTGCACTTCATGCCTAGGAGATGGAATTGCACTGTAGACCGGGCATTGCAGTCATTGCAGAGGATCTACACACACAGAAAAGAGAGAGAGAGAGGCTTTAGCATCAGCAGGACGCTCAACAATATACTACAACCCTGCTTCTAGCAACTACAGAAGCGGTTTGGCATCGGGGGCAAAGCAGAAAATATCTTCCTCTTAAAGACAGCCGGGCTGATTTAAGTTTTCCATTTGTAACTGCTCAGATCACACGGTATAGTCACTAAGGATTTGCTTTTAGTATGGCGAGGTGACTCCTTGCATAAGTCAGGGACAGACGTGCTTTAGCTTCTTCTCTTGTGTAGGAAACCAGCAGAGAAACCCTCAAGTGAAAACGAGAGCAGATCAACAGCAGCTAGCAACACTAGCCAGTCTGCCGTGCCCAACAGGCAAGGGAGCGTTCTTCTCAAAATGGGCAGTAAAGAGATTTTTTTCCACATATCCTGACTCCAAGAGTTGGTAGGATGGGTTGTCTAAACCATAACAGATGCAACTAAAACATTAACGACCAGCGCCGTTTAATTCAGCGTTACCTGCAAACAGCAACCAGTTTCACAGTTCTGAGCTGACACAAAGAAACCGAACGACAACAGCAGAAGTCTCTGTGTGCTAGCCTTGCCCAGATCAATAGCTGAATAATTCTGCAGAAAACCCACCACGTTTAGTCTGGAACGTGAAGCTCCAAGCTGTTAAAAAACACGTTCCCGCTTTTCGCTCTGACAGTGCCTAACATTACTGGAGAAAGTAAGATGCTTTCAAAGACCAAGCCGTTTCTCTGCTGTGAGATACTACAACACTAAGAGGTTGTGGTTTTGGGGTTGGTTTGCTTTTTTTTTTTTGGAGTGTAAGCCTGCACATGACATTTCTTCCTCATTCCCCAGCCGTCAGGCTGACTTCTGATCCAGGACAAGTTCCTGGTGCCCCCTACTGCCGGTGATGCAAAGGCACGGATCTGCCAAGAACAGAGACGTCGGTGCAAGTCTCATCTCTTACCTCCACCATCATGTTCTGATACTCCGTGGGCATAGGAGTCTGCGCTACTTCGTCATCCAGCTGACGCCAGTACCTTGTCATGTCTAAAGCCGAGTGCATGCACAAAGGGCACCGGTAACCTCTGGCAGAAGGAAAAAAAAAACAAAAAACAACAAAACAGTCTAAATCAGAAGATAAGGAGTGGGGCCATGAAACAAGTCCACCCAAAAGGACAAGTTTCATATCATCCCAGTCACAAGAAAAACACCGCAAATCAAGAAGTTCTTGCAAACAGAACTGGAAATTAAAAGCCCTTTATCCCTTTAGGAGTTGGCTTTAAGTTATTTGGTACAGGACTGGCACCGTGATCTTTGCCTCTTGAAGTAATCCGTTTGGACTACAACAATATTAAGAGAAGAGATGTTAAGAAATACTTACTCCTTTAGCATGTCCTCGTAACATGTTCTGAAAAGAAAACGCAAAGAGAAGGTCAGCAAGAAGGTGGCGATTACTGACTGGTAACACATTCGGACTGAACACAGGGAAAAGGCACACAGCTAACCCCAAACCAGAAGTTAAAAAATATCCTGGGTCCAAGTGAGAAGAAAGCTTCCCAGCAAAATCACCGGGTACTGACGAGGCAAAAATCCAGAGACAAAGCACATCCAATTCCATTCTCAGGTCTTCGAACCTAACACGAGGGAACAGCATCAACACTGCGACAAGGATTGTGTGGGTCAAGTTTGCTGAAAAAATGGGGTGTGATGCGTCACAAGGTAAGTTTAAAATGGAGAGGAGTGGAAGGAAGATGCAGTCTGGAGAGACCTACGTCAAACACAGAGGCCACTCGCTTAGCGCACAGAGACAACGGAAAAACAAGAGAGCCAGCGGAGTAGCAAAAAGCTGCGTCTGTAACACAAGACAGAAACAGAAAAGGAAAATGGGAGGGAAACACGTGGTAATTATTCCTCCAAAGGCACCCAACGCTATATATATCATCACTTCAACATCCCAACAGAGCTGGCAGTTTTTGTAGCAGAACAGAGCACTCTGCTGTCTTGGGGGGCTGTCTTAAGGACAGAATCTGAAACTTAACTGATGAGCTGCCACCAGCCTCTTAAAATGATTGTGCAACTGCCTTCTGCACCGAGGAGGGACTTTTCTACAGGATTCTTGAAATTTAAGTAGTAACAGGGGGAAATTCAGCATGGGAAAATTTAGAATGAACAGTACACAGGTTCCTCCGCCAAAATTTACTGCGGAAGGAAGACCACCTTTCTAAAGAAAGTACTTCCTGATGAAACAGAGATTACCCCCTACCCTCTGGGTCCCTTCGAAACCAGCTGTGCGTAGCTGACACAGACTAACCGGGCCTGTAGCACCGCTGAAATGCCACACACAAGGCAGCAGCTATTCCCCCGCCTCAAGTATCTGCTTTACCTGTGAAGAAGGTGACCACACGGCAGAACATGAGCTCCAACACGGGATGTGTGAATATCCTGTTTCGAGGCAAGTATCAGACAAAAAGACAAGAAAACTAATTAAAACACGGTCAAAAAATACAGCCACACACAAATCCAAGAGATGAAAAGAAGCAGCTCACCTCCAAACATATTGGACAGTCCTGCCTGGAGACATTTTCAATACACTTTGCAAAGACAAAAAAAAAAAAAAAAGTTAATCTACTCCATGGATATGTTAGTTTTTCTAAATTCTAAAATTCCTTTAGAATGGTAAGAGAGGTATGAAACATTACTGTTTGCATTTAGGTTTGAAGTTCTGAGAATTAACAGGTGACTTAGCATATTAAAAAACAAACAGCTTGAAAGTATACGCAAGAAAAGGGCTCCCAGAAGCCCCGCAGCAGCAAGCGGCCTAGCTTTTCCTATACTGCAGCAGGCACAGGAGCTCAAACTTACACACTGTCAGATCTGCAATCAACAGCTCCTTTTAACAGAAGAAAAAGAGACCAAGGTGTTTATTTCCTATAGCTTCAACCGCTATCCAAGCCAGCCCAGAAGCACTCTGTGTTGCCGTTAGGTGCACTTAAAGAAAGAGAACCTGCCGCTCCCCCTGTCCATACGGCCTTGGATGGAGCAGCGGCACTATCAGCTGTCGTCTTCACGGTGGTTTATTTTAAGATACGGAGTTAACCGGTGTATCCTTACCTTGTGCTTTCCTCGGAGGCTCAAACTTAGGCATAAATTGCATTTTGAACAGTGGAAAAAATCCTCCTTTGGACCAATCCTGAGGAAAAAAGCGTCAGGGGGAGGCGGGTTCCCTCCTTTCCGTGCCGCCCCGCTCCTCTCCCCACCCGAGCGGGGCCGGGGCCGGTCCGAGGGGCCCGCCCGCCCCTCACGCACCTGCAGATGCCGCACTCGGCGCAGTGGTACTGCTTCTTGTCGCGGTCGAAGAGGTGGCAAATACCGCAGTAGTACTCGCCGAAGAGGCTCTGGCAGCCCTCGCAGCGCTGCTGGGCCTGCCGCCCCACCGGGGAGAGGAACCGGGGCGACGGCCGTTAGGTGGGGGGGCGGCC